GGGACCCGCCTCTGTCACGTGCCGCAGCGCCGGGGGGAGGGCAAAAACCCACGAGCTGGGTAGGGGCAAAGCCGTCTTCCAAACAGCAGAGCAAACAGGCACGTGATGCCTGTGGCAACACCGCGGTGACACAAGGAGGGAACCTTTGGTCCCAGCGCTGTTGTCAACACGGCCATGGGGCAGCATCGCAGCCCCCGGGCCCCTGGGAAGCCTTTTGCACCTGGGTGGGGGTCACGCATCCCCATGCCTGCACACCCATGACAGTTCCCATCTCCACCTCACCCACCTGTGCCCTCCTTCCCTGCCTGCACCCTGGGGACACCCCCTTCCCCCCCCCACCTTCACCCCAGGGATATTCTATCCCCCCACCTCTCTCATTGAGCACCAGAGGGCTGGGGATGAGAAAACATGAGAAACGCTGGCCCTGTGGCCCCTGGGGACTACCCCCAAATGGCCCCGCTGGCAGCAGCAGCACCGGGGCCCCCAGCAGCCAGGGAAGCTGCCACAGCACCTGCTGCTCCCTTGCCTGGACACCCACGGGTGTCCTGTACCAGGGCTTTGCACCAGCACCAAACTCACACAGCATGTGCATGCTTGTTTTTTTATAGATATATTTTTAGGAGTTGAGGAGAGAGGAGAAGAGGTGGCAAGGAAGGAGCATCACTGGTGTGTTGTCCTCCTTGGGTTCCCCCTCAGGCTGTGCTCAGTGTAAGGGGGTGAACTTGCAGACGTAGTGATGCTTCTGGGCACAGTTGGCGCTGAACCACACGGAGAAGGCTGAGGGAAGAGATGGGCCACGGGTCAGCAGGGGCCACAGAGAGGACAGAGGCACCAGCTCTGCCTGCTGCAGCCACCCGGGGGGCACATCGGCCCTACAGGAGGAGGAGGGAGGGGCAGTGGGATGGGGGATGGAATTTCAGCCAAGAAGTGGATGCAGAGTCCAGGCACTCACCGCTGTGGTGGGTCAGCATGCCACAGGCCCCCCCACGGGCACCATTCCCAGACAGCCCACTGGTGGCATTGTACTTGTCCCCAGACGGCCACTGCCAGACCTGGCTCTGCGCAGGGAGCAGGGGTCAGAGGCACAGCCCCTCTGCCACCTGTCCCCTCACAGACCCCCACCTCACCTGGAGCCCGTAGCGGAGACCGATCCAGACAGGCTGCACTCGCTGGTAGTAGGCGATGAGCTTGCGCAGGGTGGCTGCCTCATGGGGGTCCTCCACCCACGCCAGGTGGGCACCTGGGTGGCTGGCCTGGCACTGCCTCTGTGGGGAGAGCTGTCAGTGCTGGGGCACTTCTAGGGCACTGGGGGGTCCCCAGCCACGTGTGTACCCCAGAGGCCTTACCTCAGCCTCGTCCCAGGTCTGGGGATGAGAGAAGTACTTCAAGCAGCTGAGTTTGTAGTAGGACCAGCCCTCGGGGCAGTAGTCTATGTACCGGGCACCTGAGGAGAGACAGCCGTAGGGAGGGATGTGGGGCAGCGGGTGCCACCAGCTGGAGGGACGCGTGGCTCCCTCCTGGTCCCCCTGAGAAAGTGGCTGGGGGGC